ATGTCTCCTCATAATCCATACCATATTGCTGATTGAATCCCTTAGCAACCAATCTAGCTTTGTATCGCTAACCGAGCCATCAACTTTTGTTTTGATCTTATAGACCCAAAGAGAATCAACAGCACGTTTACCAGGTGGCAATGGAACCAAATCCCAAGTATCAGTCTTATGCAGTGCAGAGAGTTCCTCAGCCATAGCCTCCTGCCAAAGAAGATTAAAAATAGCCTATTTATAGGAAAAAAGGCTCAGATAGTTTGTGAATAGAGGTTAAAAAACAATTAAAGGGGTCTGAATAGCAAGAATAACTAAAATCCGGTAACTTCGTAGACTTACGAGAACACTGAGGATACCGAGGGGGTGGAGAAGGATCTACAATCTCAGAAGGTGCTTGGAAGGCCATAGATAGAGTGGGAACATCAAGGATTTCTTGATCCATTGCATTTGTACCTGTAGTGCATTGAGTATCTATAATGCATGGGGTATGAGAGGGTGGATTATATGTACTATCAGAGAATGGATCAATGCAAATGAGTTCAGACTTAGTCATGTTATGAGAGTGATCAGGAATATAAAAGAATGGAATATGCTCAAGGAACACAACATGACGAGAGACATACAATTTTTGGCTAATAGGATCAAAACAACGATAACCTTTTTGTCCTTCGCCATAACCTAAAAACACATAAATAGCAGAGCGTGAAGTTAACTTGGTACGCTCTACTTTAGGACGAAGAACAAAACATGCACAACCAAAAACTTTCGAAAAAGAATAATCAGGAACATGTCTATATAATGTTTCAAAGGGTGACAAACCGGAAGTGTGAGACGATGGAATTCTATTGATTAAATAGACAGCAGTAAGGACGGTGATTGACCTCCCAAATTTTCAGAAGACCGATATTGCCACTGTTGTGATGACCGTTGTTGACTCTTTGGAGGTTGTTGTTTATTCAATAACTTAGGACACTGAGCCTTCCAATGTCCCTTCTGCTTGCAAAAGCTGTACTCATCACTAGCAATTCTTAAATAAGACCTCGTCTGATTCTGAGTGAATGGTCGAGAAGGGACCGCCAAAACTGAAGTAATGGATGTAGATCGAGATATTTTTTCTTTATGAGACTTCAAACGTATTTCCTCTGCTAAAAGTTCACTAACAACATAATCAACGGAATGAAGTGAATTACGATGCAAAATAGATCCATGAAGTCCTTCAAAATCATCACGAAAAGCCATCAAAAACTGAACCAAACTTCGTCCCTCTCTACTCTTAATATATGGTTTATAAGTTCGAAGTTCATCATCCTCTGTAAGAGTCAACTGATCCCAAAGGTTGGTCAGTGCAGAATAGAATTCCTGAACACTCATATTTTTCTGCTCTATTGCTCGAATATCTGCCTCCAATTGGTATTCCATTGCAAAATTAGATTTTGTGAACAACCTTGCTAAATGATCCCAAATTTCCTTAGCTGTCTCATATTTTGCTAATTGTATGCCAATAGAGTGTTCAACAGAGTTAAATATTCAAGTCGTAATTTTAGCACCGTTCCTGTCCCAAGTGCAAAGCATTTCAACAAACTTATCATTTTCATTTTCATCAAGCTGAGATTTGGTCTCAATACCAGTTACATAATCCCACAAAGATTTTCCTTTCAAAAAACTTTTCACCACAACGCTCCAATATGAATATTTTTTCCATCTAGTCTCACAGTAATCGACTGAAGCGAATCATCACTTACACCCGCCATTACAAAGGATTCAACCAACAAACAACACAATGATACCAAAAAGTTTAATCAGACAACAGAACAAGGTTACCATAGAAAAAAAAAAAGGACATAGAATAATCACATCCTCACAGGTTTCCCAAAAGCAATATCATTTCTGTCCCTCGATTCTACACTCTCTTCACACTTGAAGCAAAACCAATTCTTACAACTTCTGTACGGACAATAACACCTCTCCCCTCCCAGAATAGCTATTTCACATAGCGATGTCACTCCACCCGTTTCACAGAGCACGTCGTTCCACCCTCTTCACAAAGCACCGGAACAAATTACAATCACCAACTACAGACAAAACTCCTCACAGCTAGGAGATCAAAATGGAAGAGGAGACTAACTCTGACTGCTGGCCAAATCACTGGAAATGCAACACTGCCCAACTTGCCATGAAATCGTGATGAAATCTGCCGTGCTCCAGCAACGGCGACATCTTCCTGTTCACCCAACTCCCTCTCAGCTCTGATACCATGTGGAAATCATGATAGCAAGATGAAGAAGACAAAAATGGAAATAAGGTTTCCAAACTAAAAGGGGCTGAACAAATCGTTAATGAAAATGAGATTACAAGAGAGAATAAATTAAAAAAAAGGCAAAAGACCAAACTACCCTAATCAAGTAAGTAAAACTACAATTCTACCTTTTAACACATATATCGGTACATCATTAGCCTCCAATAAGTTCCTTTGTTATGAGAATGGTACCTTGGTTGAGAATGGATATTGCACAATTGGATCCATTCTAACTGACGGAGAACTTGGAAACTGCACGACCAGTGTTACAGTCCCCGTGCTCCAAACAACAGTAAATACTCTTAGAAATAACTTAACATCGATTGATCGGGTTCTAAATGACGAATTTGAAGTACACTGGATCACGGACAATGTAGCATCTACATAGTGTGCAGGATATGGCGAGAGATGTGGATACAACTCAAGTTGTTTTAAACCTATATGTTTCTGTGCCGATAAAACTTACTTGATGAGATGTCAACTTCCACCAAGTAAAATAATCGAGGTACATATAATTCACGCCTTATCTGACAAATGGATTAAGCAAAAATCTTTGTTAACACAAACTATATAATAACAAATAATTATGAATCTCAGATTCGTAACACAAATAAAAACCAAAGAGTATCTACCACTTCAAGTGCTGGTAGTCAATGTTATGATTTTAAACATGCCCATGAAACTACTTGCTTCATATCTAAGTGTTCTATTGTACATCGCTTGTATTGCAGGAAACCATGCAAATCCTACGCTTCGAATTTTTAAAGATATTCCCAACATGCTAATTATTGTATATGATCATACCACTTTCCTGCAAAACAACGTGATATCAATACCTTGTTATTTTTCGTGCAAACGGCTGCATCTACGTTTGGAGCTTGCATTCTTTTGGTGATATATATCCTATGTGTTTGCTTCAGAAGGAACTATTTGCACACGTGTTATTTTCCTTTTGGTTTGTTTCTTCTAGAAGTAGGAAGGACTTGTACTAACAACACAAGCACAATAACTTGAATAATGCTATATGTACATCTTTCCTTACCACTTGGATGACACTCCGTTCTCTGTAGATGAAATATGTGCAATGATGTGATGGATGAATTCAAAATCAAGAGTTTGGATATTGTCACGTGGAAAAGTGTAAAAAAAGGTGTAAATGAGAGTGTACATATTGCGTGATTGTAATAACTCTATCATTCCACAGAATGATGTATTACAATGCCTATGTTTCTTTTCTACGAGATTTGTTCCTTAATCCCGAATTGAATGTCTTTGTTTGATTTGACATGATTTGGATGTGACGTGTTTTGTGCTTGCAGAATTTTTTGATGTGACATAATTGATATTTTTGACCATGGGCTTTTAACATTGAAAAGTGAGAAAAAGTACCGTAGGATTATTTCAGTAGTAGTTTCTCGAGAAAAAAACAGAAGGTATTTTTTACTTTAGGAAAATGCACATTATTGGAACAGTCCAAAATGAAGTAAAGATTTTCAAGTTTTTGATGGAGTATTTTAGTATTAGTAGTTTAATAACAGTATTTTTAAGCAATACTCAGGCGTTATGTAGTTGATAAGGAACATAGATCTCCGAGTAGATTTAACAATGAACAGAGCTCAATGGTGAAGAAGGATTCATGTAGTTGACCCAAATTTATTGGGAAAAAAACTTAGTTTTTAGTTATTGATGTTATTTCAATACTTGGATACTCTAAATAGTTTTAAAGCAGTCTGGGATTCCACCTCTTGCAAAATGGAAGGTGTTGCAATCGAGATTTCACTTCGATGATTTTTGATGCCTTGAAATTAAGAAACAATAACAATGTTAAGAATGCGTTGTGTGTGCCTGTAGTCTTGTTTTCTGGGGTTTCACTCCCTAGTAACTCAGTAAGCCACTCTTCGATGTTCATGGACCAGTCTTTGACGCTCATCTAATTGTGTTGAACCACATAAATTGGGTTGCTGTATCAGACACTTTTAAGAATTAAGTAT